TACACAAAGTTGATTTCAAACGGATTGCGTGAAGTCATTGCCCTTTAACATAACAAGTGTCATTAACACTGCTGTCTGTAATAAAGCGCATAGTGAGCGGAACCCGGAACAAAACAGTACACATGTCGGGAGTGGAACGGTTCCAGTACAGTGTAAATCACCAGACGCGCATCCCTATTGTAGCAGACGACCACCATTGGAGTCGAGACCAAATGTTGTCAGACATGTTGGATATTGACGGGATACACGTCATGTGAAACCGTACGGAAACAGTAAGGGGCCCAATGTTTAACATTCAACAAAAATGAATACAATTTATACCGAGGAAAATCCTTTATTTGTTTGACACTCAAAGGATTAAATGAAATATATTTCTACGTGTAAATTTACACAATGTCGATTTCAAACGGATTGCGTGAAGCCATTGTCTGTTAACAGTGCTAATGTCGTTCACAGTACTGCTGTCTTTAATGAAGCGCAAAGTGAGCGGAACCCGGAACAAAAGTTCACATGTCGGGAGTGGAACNGAAACAGTAAGGGGCCCAATGTTTAACATTCAACAAAAATGAATACCATTTATACCGAGGAAAATCTCTATTTGTTTGACAATCAAAGGATTAAATGAAATTTATTGCTACGTGTAAATTTACACAATGTCGATTTCAAACGGATTGCGTGAAGCCATTGTCTGTTAACAGTGCTAATGTCGTTCACAGTACTGCTGTCTTTAATGAAGCGAAAAGTGAGCGGAACCCGGAACAAAAGTTCACATGTCGGGAGTGGAACTGTTCCAGTACAGTGTAATCACAAGATGCGCATCCCTATTGTAGCAGACGACCACCATTGGAGTCGAGACCAAATGTTGTCAGACATGTTGGATATTGACGGGATACATGTCTTGTGAAACCGTACGGAAACAGTTAATAGTTTACAATTAACAACAGTGAACAGGAGACTTACTGTAGCAATGTTATTGCTTTGACACCCGAAGGATTAAATGAAATCTATTTCGCATGTCAATTCAAACGGATTGCGTGAAGGTTTCTCGTTTACGGAAAGTGCTGACGGTTCCCAATTGGTTTCAAAGCACTGATGTCGGGCGCGCTTCTTGAATAGTGAGTAGAATATTGGACAAGACAGTTCAAATGTCGGAATTGGAACTGTTCCAGTACAGTGTAAATCACAAGACGCGTATCCCCATTGAAGCTGACGACCACAATTGGAGCAGAGACCCAATGTTGTCAGACATGTTGGATATTGACGGGATACAAGTCTTGTGAAACCGTATGAAAACATTTCTAAACTAAAATGAGTTAACATTCAAAAAATAAAAACAACTAACACATTTACTACTTTTTTTTGGTCAATTTATGTTGTGTTGATTGAAAATGGATTGCATGAAGCTGCGGTCATTTCACAGCACTGATGTCGTTAGTTCTGCTGTCATCAACGAAGCGAATAACGGAGCGGATCTCTGAACAAAACGGTACACAGGTCGGGAGTGGAACGGTTCCAGTACAGTGTAAATCACAAGACGGACATCCCTATTGTAGCAGACGACCACCATTGGAGTCGAGGCCCAATGTTGTCAGACATGTTGGATATTGACGGGATACATGTCTTGTGAAACCGTACGGAAACAGTTAATAGTTTACAATAAAACAACATCGAAAACAAGATTAACTTAAGCAATTTCACAATTGTTTTGACATCCCAAGGGTTAAATTAAATATATTTCTCATGTCAATTTACACCAAGTTGATTCAAACGAATTGCGTGAACCCATTTCCGTTACACAGCAATGGGAAGTGGTCGTTTACGGAAGGTGCTGACGCTTCCCAATTTGATTCACAGCACTGATGTCGGGGACACTGCTTGAATAGTGAGTAGAATATTGGACAAGACAGTACAAATGTCGGGATTGGAACTGTTTCAGTACAGTGTTAATCACAAGACACGCATCCCTATTGTAGCAGACAACACCATTGGAGTCGAGACCAAATGTTGTCAGACATGTTGGATATTGACGGGATACAAGTCCTGTGAAACCGTACGGAAACAGTTAGGGTCTAAAAGTTTAACATTCAACAAAAATAAACACAATTTATAACGACGAAAATTTGTATTCGTTTTCACATCACAAGGATTAAATGAAATAAATTTCCACGCGCAAATTTACACAATGTTGATTTCAAACGGATTGTGTGAAGACATTGCCTGTTAACATTACTGCTGTCTTTAATGAAGCGAAACTCAGAACAATTCAGTACAAATCACAAGACGCGCATCCCTATTGTAGCAGACGACCACCATTGGAGCAGAGTCCCAATGTTGTCAGACATGTTGGATATTGACGGGATACAAGTCTTGTGAAACCGCAAGGAAACATATTTAAAATAAAAAGAGTTTACATTCAAAAAATAAAAACAACTAATACAAAATGTACTGAAACAATCTTTTATTGATTTGACACCCCAAGGATTTAATGAAATATACTACTTTTTTGTCAATTGATGTTGTGTTGATTGCAAACGGATTACATGAAGCTGCGGTCATGATGTCGTTAGCTCTGCTGTCATCAATGAAGCGAATAGCGGAGCGGATCTCTGAACAAAACGGTACACATGTCGGGAGTGGAACTGTTCCAGTACATTCTAATCACAAGACGCGCATCCCTATTGTAGCAGACGACCACCATTGGAGTCGAGACCCAATGTTGTCAGATATGTTGGATGTTAGAGTTAACAGATAAACACGAGCGCAGAATGTTTCAAGCTCCTCTTTGGTCATGTCTTCCCTCACATTCATGGTATTATTTCCCCTGCCATAACCCGTTTTTAATGAAACTTTAATTTACTATTAAAAAAGAACATGGCTCAAAACTGTACTGAAATATCCGCTGTAGATTTCTATCAATGATTTTTTATGACAAATTAACCCAAACATTTTGGAGAATCCATAAGCAGAGACTTGCCTTTTGTGTTTTACCTTGTTCCTCTTCTTTGACTTCAAACTGTCGTTTTTCCTCGTTCAAATTTCAACTGTTCCAAACTTTTCAAAATGTCTGTCTTCTGTTCAACAGAGAGGTCTTCATGCGCATGCTCGAGAATGCAATCAGATTCCAGAGGAACTGATAAGCTGTGAAAAAGCACGCCACTTGATTGACGTGAAAGGCCCATTTCGGGGGCGTGGTTTAATTGAAATAAGACAGCAATCTTTTAAATGACAGACAGCAACTTGGGCCCAGGTGAGTAGCTTATTCAGTGATTAGCGGAAATTTTAATTATTGTGTATCTTAAAAACACAACCATTGAATTCGTTACAACTTTCCAGATATCAAATAATTATTAGAGTTAATTTACATACAAAATTACGAGTTTTTACCTTGTATATTGACCAAATTATTAGAGATTGAAACATGTCGTTAAACAGTGATTAAGCTAACCGCCTTTTGAACAACTGGGCCCTGGAGACTCTCCCAAAACCAAAAGTGAGAATATTCAACTTTTGTTTGACTTTTTTTCGATCTTAAATTAACATATTTGTCACTTTTCTCTGTGCAGTTTGGTTAACGAGCTAATAGCTCGGGTCATTTCCGATTTCAGCCAGCAAAACCTGATCTCGGGTAGATTACCGACAATCTTCGAAAATATGCCGACTATTGCCGGATATTTTCTTGAAATATTCGGTGCATGTCGGAAAAGCTTCGTTGTTTTCCGATTGCAGTTCAGTAGGATACACCACTCGCGGGGCATTGCCGACATGTCAAGTTTACAGAAAAAGTCCGAGTGGTTCCTCATAGCTTTTATCCGAAAGCTATCGATGTATACCGGGGAACTTATTTCATAGCTTTGAATCAGTTTGCTTTTGTTTTATTAATTCCAAGTTTGCACTAAACCGAAGTCTGACGTCACTTATTAATTAATTAATCAACAGAACTACATATATAACAATCTGCATAAAATACCCTTTTAGCCGAACGGTATCCAAAATGGAACACTTTTAATTTATGTGATGCAGCTTTTTTTTATTTTGCAATATATATGAATGGTATGTATTCTAAATCAAGATGCATATAGTTCAATGAGTTTTGAACAAATTGTATCTGTCTACAGTTTGTACCTCTTACACATAGCTCATAGACTCAATTGAAATATGAAAAAAAAATGAAAATAAATCCAGGGAAACGATATGGTGCGACAACATAAAATTTAAAATATCTTATTATAATTTCTAAACATGGAAAACTATATTTAACGAGCTCTATAAATAGACACACGTGCTCACGTGGCTGTTGATACACAAGAAACACATAAAATGAAGGATAAAGACATACGTGTTGTTTCATTTAAGTAAAAACAAATTCTTTCAGAAACTTTATTGGAAATATTAATAGTTTTCTTTAAAGAGTGTTCCATTTTGGGTACCCTCACCCAGAGACGAATATATACTTTTTATATATCTCTGTCTCACCCTAGTCCACGGTATTGAAAAAAGTTTGTGTTAAATTATGTAGGACCAAGTCAGAAAAAAAGTAAAATTATAATGGACATGTTTTGCATTTTATTTTATAAATCTTTGAAAATATATAACATCAGTTCATTATTACAAACATGCGTAAAGTGTTCAGTATGTTGCGTTTAACACTAACTGACACCGCACAACTGGCATAAAGCAATATTGTGCCAGCACCTCCAAATCACAGGAACCTGATAATTTGTTACAGCTTTATTTGGATCTAACATAACAGTAAACTAAAGTGTTCTGAGTAATTTTACACGTTTAGGGGGTTTAGATCGACTTCCGGTAAAAATGATCTTATATCATCATTGGGGGTGTCAATTTTACAGAAAGTCGATTTAAACCCCCTAAACGTGTGAAATTACTCGGAACACCTTTAGCTTAGGTCCAAATATAGCTGTAACAAATTATCAGGTCCCTGTGATCCAAAACCGGAAATTCATCACCGGTAGCCGTTTCTAAAAACTACTGTCGTCGCTTACGACGCTGTTATGGCGGACAGGGTGCACTAGATCCAGTGGTTGTTAGAACGTTTTTGCTGTTTGTAGATTATTTTACCAATATACGGATAAATAACCAACTAGCAAGATGCCTGTACACTTCAAGGTAAACGATACAATTTCATTTTTGCACAATTAACATGCAATATTGTTGGAACAGTATATAAATCTCAGACATCAAGGCGGCATATTTATAAACAAAACTGAAACAAAAACAGGTCAAAGCGATTAACGACAAATACCATTCAGACCCCTTAGGCCTACAGTTTGCATTTTAGCAGTCGATATCAGTGCAAATTGCATTTGAGATGATATTTTCGAAATATAGTTACGAGTGATCCTCGTCGATTCTTTAGAAATCATCTTCATAAGTAATAAATTTTGTGTAGTTTGTATAAGATTCAAGTTCAGACTCATCATTGATTAGCGCCTTTCATCCGTTTACTCGCGTAGTACCACCGTTCATTACTGAACCACACAGAAAGACAGGTTAATCATGAAGAGTTTCCATTCAAGTTAACTTTATCTAAATATTATTTAATGGATTAATTGTGTTTCTGGTTTTTTTTCTGGAAATATTGTTAGACTGCTACCATATACTAGATTGCTGACTGTATAGATAGGCCTACATCACGGAGTACATGTGTGACATTAATTAAACTGATGTGTACAGCACCCTGTGCTTGTACTAGACTAAGCTTATATTGTCTGCAAGTTAAGGTACACATTCATTTCCATTACTGCAAACTACATTTATTGTAACATAAATTGTTTGCTGAATATTTAAAATTACAGTGAAACAAAATAGTTTGTAAAACATAATAGTAATACAGTAAAATACCATGTAGCAGAACTGGAGACAGGTGTAGTCCTGCTTCAGCTGGTTTTTGAAAAATAAGAGGGGTCATTCTAAGTATATGTGATATTAATAAATAGGAGGGGCCAGTGAATTTCAGTAGTGAGAGCCCAGTGTCTCCTTTTAATACCAGGGTTATCAATAAAGAAATAATATACATTCGTCTACATCAGACTTATTATCAAACTGTCATTAGTTTAACTAACTGATCTTATATCACAATAACTGGTCTGGACCTATACCTATATATATATATACTACTGGTTTTATACAATATTGACACAGTACTAATTTGCTGATGAGTGTTTTATATATTGTACAGTATTGCTACACCAATAGGATAATCATGATTTTAAGGCACATTTGTATAATTTATGTGTTTTATTTTTTAGATTAATTAGTTGTATTAATTGGTTTCTTTTCACAGGGCAATTCTGAATATAATGTCCACTACCAGTGGTTTGATTCTTACAAAAGCAAGAGTTTCCACCCGACAGCAGAACAGGCAAAACCAAAAGCAGGCCTTTCCTCAGTGAACCTAGGTTTAAATAGTGCGTTCATGCTATCCCACAGCCGTGATGTTCTTCTTGTATTAGGCTACAATGACTTTATTATGCATGTTCATCAGCATTTGTCACACCAAGTTAACTTTCGTAAATAGTCACAACCTCTCCAGTTACAAAAATGAAATTGGGTCTAGACTGGGTTTCGATCCGTTTACCAAACCTGAATAGTAGCGCTAAAGGTTAAATTGGTCCTTTGTTCAAACCAATGTAGACCTATTATATGCCTATCATATATATATATAAGGAAGTTAATTTTTGTGTGGCATATGTTTGCTATCACACTGATCTTCAAAATGGTGATGGACAAATTGGTATAGCTAGCATGATTAATTTACTGTATATGCATGCATGAGAAGAATGATTTATGGTATACCAGTATAGCTGTGCTGTCAGGATCAGAACAATTTCAAATTATTCTTATTAGTGCATGCCCATCTCAAAACTTTCAGATTTTCGCATGCTCAGCTTGAACGAGAATGAAGAAGCTACAAAAAGGTTGCAGCTATAGGCTTACAAGTATTGTAACTAACTGCTATTTATCAATGATTGTATGTCACTTATGCTTTACAGACCAGTTCTGAATACAAAGAACATTACAAACCCACGCAATCATACAAGAGTGCCACATTCTCACCTAGTGCAGAGCAAATGGCACCAGCAGCTGGCCGACAGTCTTCAAAGCTAGGTATCTAGAGGAGTCTTTTGTACTAATATCTTGTAATGTTTAAAAGAAATATATATGACTTTTTTTTTTAACAAAGGGAGACTAATAGATAATTACGTACCTCATGCAATCAAATTGCTGCCGATATCTAATAATCACATTTTACTGGAAAGCAAACACAGAAGATAACTGGTTTAAAATAAGAAATATGGTTATAACAGTTTGGTGTTCCGTAAAAACCTTATATTTTAAATGGCCCTTTTTTGAAATTTCAAAAAATAAACCATTAAACATATAAGTAGGAAAAAAAGGATACATATATTGTCTGGTATTATTTCACATAAAATGTACAGAATTATTCATTGTTATCGTAATTTGGAGTCCTGATTTTGGGCAATCATATCCAGCTTACATAAAAGACACTTTTTTGAAAGCTAAATCAATGTTGTTATTTTTTTATCCAAGTGTGGTAGCTAGATATGAAGTGTGTGGCTGGTTTTGTCAACCCGCTTGCATGGTGTGAACTGTTTGTGCAGTATATCACATGATATGTTCATTACTACACCTATTTACAATATCAGACTATACTGCATGCAAGCATGGACACTAACATCATGTAACGTTACTATTCATCCAATTTAATTTATCTCCTGATACCTTGAGGTTAGCCTTATTATCTATACCAGGTAGGCTGGAATTTGAAGAAAAAGAATCTGCTACATAGTTTAAGTGTAACTTACATGTGTATCAGTCAATATTATTGGCGATGCATGCTTGGGTATGGATTTGTGGTGTTTTTGATATGGATATTCAGGGCAAGAAAATTCCAGGTCTGATTGCGTCCATTATATTTGATCTCTTGGCAACAAAAATGCTATTTTGTACATGTATAGCTAAATGCCTTGATTACCTGATCGACGAGGGTAAAATGATATATTGAAGAATATAACTAAAACAACTTTCTTTTGAAATAGATGTCACAGACATTAAATAATTACTTAAGAGTTCATATTCCATCTTTGCGTATTGCAGAGTTATCTTCTCTTGTGAGCAGGTATTGATTGTTACGTCATTGGTTTGTGTGAGAAAATTACGTTTGTTTTCTCAAAAATTGATGACGTTACTCTCACAACCCAATGACGTAACAATCAATACCTGCTCATAAGAGAAGATAACTCTATAACGCAATACGCAAAGACGGAATATACATGAATGTAATTTTGAGACCAAGAGATATTTGGGAAGTGATTTAAAAAAAAATACCACTTGTCCAAAACACATGTGATTTCCAAACATTTGTTCTTGCCCTAGACATATTCATCTAAAGTTCCTTGTTTTAAAGTGGATTTGCATGTTCTGTAATAATTTTTCTTCCATGCTGAAATAAGTATATTAAAATATATTATCAGGTGCATAATATAGTTATAATTTGTAATACAGTTAATACACTGAATACATGAGATTGATTAATATGACATAAATGTAGTCATAATGAATATGTCACTGACTGAATTAGTAGAAATGTAGTATTTTATTATAACATAAGTTGTCTAAATTAAACTTATTCTTTCATAAAAATGAATCACAAATTTAATTTTCATAGATATTTAATCTTTTGATATCTTTGTCATAAATTAATCCTATTTTAACTTGGAATGCTATGGTATGTGAAATGGTTAGTTTTGTACAGTGTGTTGGTTCTGTGGGGCTCCAATCATTGTCCAAAATCTCCATGCTGTTGTTCAGGCGTTACTTATCGAGGTCTGACATTCATATAAAGTAAGAATACATGAATCATAATGATGGTAAAGGATAATTTCAGAATGTACAGAAGAAAAAATAGTCTGTTTCTTTAATCTAAAAATGTTTTGAATGTTGCCAGTGATATATTAGTTTAGACCATTGTAATGTCTTAAAGAGGTATAAGTGTCCTAATACCTGCAGGTTTGCTGGGAAATTTTACTGCTTGCATAAACTTCTGAAGACGAGTCAGCAAAGTCATACAGATTGTACTGCTAAGCTTTGACACGTTGTAAATTAATTACTAAAACAGAAATGTGCCCTGTTAAACTTAAACTCTTTGTAATAATTACACAAAGTTACTGAAAAGCTTAAAGCGTTTGTATAAATGTCACTATACCTGTAGGTGTGCCTAGTGAACGTTTGTATAAATGTCACTATATATACCTGTAGGTGTGCCTAGTGAATGTTTGTATAGATGTCACTATACCTGTAGGTGTGCCTAATGGACGTTTGTAAAAATGTCACTATATATACCTGTAGTTGTGCCTAGTGAACGTTTGTATAAATGTCAATATATCTGTAGGTGTGCCTAGTGAATGTTTGTATAAATGTCACTATACCTGTAGTATAAATGTCACTATACCTGTAGGTGCGCCTAATGAACTTTTGTATAAATGTCACTATACCTGTAGGTGTGCCTAGTGAATGTTTGTATAAATATCACTATATATACCTGTAGGTGTGCCTAGTGAATGTTTGTATAAATGTCACTATACCTGTAGGTGTGCCTAATGAACTTTTGTATAAATGTCACTATACCTGTAGGTGTGCCTAATGAACGTTTGTATAAGTGTCACTATATATACCTGTAGGTGTGCCTAGTGAATGTTTGTATAAATATCACTATACCTGTAGGTGTGCCTAGTGAACGTTTGTATAAATGTCAATATATCTGTAGGTGTGCCTAGTGAATGTTTGTATAAATGTCACTATACCTGTAGGTGTGCCTAGTGAACGTTTGTGTAAATGTCACTATATCTGTAGGTGTGCCTAGTGAATGTTTGTATAAATGTCACTATACCTGTAGGTGTGCCTAGTGAACGTTTGTATAAATGTCACTATACCTGTAGGTGTGCCTAGTGAACGTTTGTATAAATGTCACTATACCTGAAGGTGTGCCTGGTGAACGTTTGTATAAATGTCTCTATACCTGTAGGTGTGCCTAGTGAACGTTTGTATAAATGTCACTATACCTGTAGGTGTGCCTAGTGAACCACCCATGCAGAGGAAGAAGAGGCTAGATGGACCCATGACAAGCATCAGCACTAACTTTCACCAGGAGCCGGAGTCGCCTGCGAGTGCCGAATATGCTCTTCTGGGTGCTAATGATAAGTTTGTGGAAAACGTGAAGTACAAGGCCAGGTCTCGGGGTGCCTCTCCCCCCAAACAGCAAAAGCTGGCCCAGAGAAAGGTTAGTTTGTAAACATGATAATACCTTGTATTAAAACAAACATTTGGATGCAAATACTTAACAGTGAAAGGCAAATACTTAACAGTGAAAGTGCCGGCCAAATATTTTTTTAATAAAAATATGACCTACCGGTATATATATGTATGACCTCTTTGAAGGAAACCAGTTTCTTAATAGTGATGTCTGGTACAGGATATGTACTGATTTGTTATATACTGCGTAATTGGTCATAACATTTGATCGTTTATTCTGATTGGCTGATGGGTGGGTAATATAAATCCTTTGTATGTTTATTTGTTTACCGAATTTTGTTCAATGGATGTACATTATATATCATTACCAGGTAATGCAGAAAATCATACTTTACACCTTGATTTAAGTTTTTACAATCTGTAGGATACTTCTCAATAACCTCTTTAATTTATACCTGAATCTTCAAGTATGACATATTTTATTATCAAAATTGGGTTGCTTTTTTAGAGTAGAAATGTTATAACTGTGTAAATTTTGCAGAATGAGAAAGAAAACAGACTAGAAACCTCTAAACCTAAGCCAGCTCCTATGGTAAATACCGAGATGTACCGAAAACCTACGAAAAAGGAATCTAAACCTACTGCCCCACCTAAACCCGAGGAGAGTCCCAAAGTGACCACACCTATGGCTCCCAGGGGGATGAAGAGCATGCCCCCTTTACAGCTTAAAAGTGAGCTGGAGGCCCCGAAAATGTCGACAAAGAGCCCTGTCAAATCTAGAGCAAAGACAATAAACTCCAATGATGTGAACAGGCAGGAGTCTGTAAGTAAACTTCCCCTGAAGGACAAGATGATCAGTAACATGAACGAGTCCGTACAGACCAACATGGACAAGGGTGTAGCTCTGTCTGCTCCAGAGGCCCCCGTAAGTTTGAGAGGCCATGGTTATATTATCAGGCAAAATAGCCTTTGTCTGCTCACTAGTAGTGTTCTTCCATATAAATCATACAGTTTGGTATAACCCTAAACAGCGAGTTATATAACACTTAACCCTACCCTATCTCTACAGGACTACTTGTATAACACTTAACCCTACGCTATCTCTACAGGACTACTTGTATAACAGTTCACCCTCCACTATCTCTACAGGACTACTTGTATAACAGTTGACCCTACACTATCTCTACAGGACTACTTGTATAACACTTAACCCTACGCTATCTCTACAGGACTAATTGTATAACAGTTCACCCTACACTATCTCTACAGGACTCCTTGTATAACAGTTCACCCTACACTATCTCTACAGGACTCCTTGTATAACAGTTCACCCTACACTATCTCTACAGGACTACTTGTATAACACTTAACCCTACAATATCTCTACAGGACTACTTGTATAACAGTTCACCCTCCACTATCTCTACAGGACTACTTGTATAACAGTTCACCCTACACTATCAAAACATTTTGAGGAATTTGTTGTTAATTACAATTATTGGAAAAATTGAAAGTTTGCACAACTAATTCAAATGGACAAGTAACAGTCTGCTGTCTAGAATACTTGTAACATGAATGTATTTGGTTACCAGGCTGAGTACGCCCTGAAGTACAAGGCAGGTGTGGCCCCACCGCGTCCTAAAAGGAAGGTATCGGAGTACCAAAAGTCCTTTGACTGGAAGGTGGGGGGTAAGGCGTCGCCTCTCCTAGCAGCTGAGCAGGTAAATATTTTGATCTTTTCATCCAATTAAGTTTTATAAGAATCAGAATGGTAAAGGCCTTATAGAATATATGTGTGAATTCATATGATTTTTATTAAGCAACCATTGTTGAATACAACCATTCTACGAAAAATATTCTTGTAAATATGCCAACTTATTCAGTAAATACCAATGTCGATTTTATCCCACGTTCTGATAGTCAAATCACCCTTCGTCAGTGGACGTGGTCCGCGGTCTGTTGGTCGTCTGTCTGTCATTTGTCCTTAAGCAATTCCTGTTATCGCTATTTCTCAGAACGTGCAAGAGGGATCTTTCACTTGTAAGTTCCCCTTGGACCCTGGTTGTGCATATTGACTTCTGAGACTGATCGGAAAATCAAAATTGCTGACAGGTGGCCTTCTTGAATTTTGACAGTTAAGGTTTGTTATCACTATTTCTCAGAAAGTACTGGAGGGATCTTTCTCAAATTTAATATGTAAATTAACTTTGATCTCTAGTTGTGCATGTGTACTTTTGAGACTTCAGTCAAACAAAATGGCCAGCAGGTCTCTGTCTTGGATTTTGACATTATTTATTGGGATCTCTTGTTGATGTTTTGAATGACAGTATTTGTCTTAGTATGGGAAATGACCAATGAAATGGATGATTTTTCAGGTGAAGCATTTCTATATACTTACTGTAACCTAAAAACCATTATACACTTGTAATTACAAAAAATTAAATTGTTCAGCTACTTTATAATGATCGAAAATAAGCACTTAAATGGCAAGTGTATGTGTCTGAGATTAAATAAACAGTTATGATTGGTTATTGTGATGAGTGGTTACCTGCGACATTGGTTAAGGGCCTGTCACACCTAGCTGATTTGGGTCGCCAGAGCTATACCTGAGCACAAATTTGGCGATGTTCGGGGATCGGTACTAGTACAGCAGCGCAATGGTATCACATCGCTAAGAACAGTAGTACATCGTAAGGACATCGTCCGAACATCGGTGAAAAATTCAGCAACGGCAGGGGACGGTAGACATTTTTGAACTTGCTCAAAAAATTCTGCCGTTGCGCTGCTGAAGCGAGCAACGGAACTACAACGGTAGTAGCACGGCAGTACTCCGGTATGGCTTTGTTAATGTCGGTAGAGCACCGGTAGCGCCCCATTATAGATAGCAGCAATCCAGTGGCCTCAATGTGTATCGTACTGGGACCGATGTGATTGCGTAGTACTACTGAATACCACCAAAGTAGTACTGATGCCTCGGTATAACATCGGCGACCCATCAGTTACACTTAGGTGACAGAAAAGTGGTATTCGATAGCACATCGGCTCTTACATCGGTAGGACAACGGTAGAACAACAGTATCACAACGGGAATGCCAGTACTACATCAGTATTGCTATGGTCAATTTTTCAAGTGCTTTCTGGCCGGAGCTCTGCCATTGTCCCGGCGAGGTACATCGGTAGTGTGTGACAGGCCCTTTACTGTGGTGAGTGATAACCTGCGACACTGTTGATGTTTTATTCCACACAAATGAGGTGATTGGTTACAGATCGTATACAACAGTAACCCAGCAGTGGCCCCGTTCAGGAAGGATGTCATCCCTAAGAAGAGTGAATATGATGTTCAGTTCCAAAACTGGAAGCTGAATGAGTGTGAGGACAAGCCTGTTCAGGCAGCAGGAAAGTCGTCAAAGAAACGGTCAAAGGTCAGTTATTTCTTCACAAAACTTCATTACAAATGTCAAAGTTCACTGATCACTGAAAACTATTTCACAAAATTCAAAGGCCATTGACAGCAGAAAACTGTATTACAAAGGTCAGTGATGACTTTCAATGTCAGAAGTTAGTGACCACAACAGACTTTACCGATGGTCGCTATTTAGTGACACTCCAAAATTAATTTTGCAGAGGTCAAAGGTCAGTGACATTACAAACTGTTAAAATGGTTTATTTTCCTCAATGATGAAATGATCAATACATTCTGTTCTTTTTTATTTGTGCGAGAGTTAAACCGAGTAATTCTGTTTTTGATATACAGGGTATTTCAATTCTGTATTTTAAATACCAGTATATTATGCATGATATTATTTTTGATACTGAGGTAATAAATTCATAATCATAAAATTCATATCATTTTAGGTGAAAAGGAGTAAAAGTGTTGGAGGTAAGATTTTAATATAAATCAGTTATATGTCCATGCTGGCATTTAATTCAGCTATACCTCACTCTTCAGACAGATTTTACAGATATAATTCAGCTATACCCACTCTTCAGACAGATTTTTCAGATACAATTCAGCTATACCCACTCTTCAGACAGATTTTATAGATACAATTCATCTATAC